GATGAAGGAGAGGACGGAGGCGATGGTGAAGAAGAGGAGAGGGGCGGCGGAGGAAGAGGTAAGGAGAGAGGTTGGGGTGGAGGAGGAGGAAGAGGAGGTGGGGGAGGGGGAGGAGGTGGTGGTGGTAGAGAGGAGGGAGGTTGTTGGGTCGATGGAGTTGTGGAGGTGGAGGAGATTTGAGAGCATTAGCAAAAACGATTCATCCATTTTTCCTTTTTCTTGGTTCTTGGGTTCAGGGTTTGTGTTTCTTCTCCTGTTCTTGGGTTCTCTCAGAAGCTTCTTGGACTGAAGAAAGAAGAGGATCTGCTGCAGAAGGAAGAGAGGAAATGGAGAATTGGGGTTTTGAACTTCGGAGTTGGAGTCAAATTAGATCATTTTCAACTGAACTGGTGAATTTGAGCAAAATCATTGTTTGAGAATTTTTAATTTAGTCTTTTGTTTTTTCATGTTTGGTCAGGTCGAATTATTGAGTTTGAGCCCAAATGCAGATATTTAATGTCAGCTCAATCCCGGCTGACTTGTTTTAATGGACTGGGCTGAAGCTCATAGGCAAAGGTTAAAAAAGGGCCGGAGTGAACTTATACTACAACTACCCATTTTGCAAATTTTTTTTTTAAACCAGAACCCATTTTCCATTTTCATCCTGACTTTCAATAATAATTGATGTCGTCCTCTAATTAGGTCCTTATAAATGTGATATTTATGATTGTATTAACAATGATTTTATGTTTAGGTTCATGTTTAGATTAATTGACCAAGGCAAGTATGCTTGTTCTTATGTACCGTAAATTCATCTCCTTTCATATAGATTATAATATTTTATACTCAAAAGACTATCGTTTGTATAAATAAAAAGTGGTTCCCTTTCAAGGTTATGGAGAAGAGAGATGTTGGATAGGCTTGCAAAATTGGACTAAGCTTGGTGGCAAGCCCAAGCCTAACTCTGTCTTCTGGGCTACGGACTGGCCCAGTCTGATATTATGGTCAAGCTCAACCCAGTATGTTGTGTAAATGGTAGAGCTTGGACTTAAACTTTTAAGCCCATAAGTAGAGCGGTCCGACCATTAAGTTAATAAATAATATATTTATAAAATAAGTTAATATTAATTATAGAAAATTAGTTAAATACTCATTCCTAAACATAGTTGTATAAAGAAACCTTATACCATTCAATATATATAAACACACCTAAAATAAACCCAAAAATAGACAACCCAAAAATAGACAACTGTCGATTTTTAGATTCAGTGTCTATGTTGGATTATGGTTTTGCCCTTTTGGTTTGAATTTTGAGAAACCAAAACTCGCAAGCTAGGATAAGAATGTCTTGAAAATTACGTTAGTGACCTCATAACTGAAACATGTTTGTCTGCGATGGGCTTAGAAGAATTTTGCTGGTCTGAATAAAAGAAAATATTATAAACAACTATTCCTACAAAAATAGTAAAGGCCCAATAAGAATAATTGGCCTAGTGGGCCTGTAAAATAATGACCGACTCAAAACGTCGTCGGAGTTACAAAACCCGGGAAACCGAATTTCCGTGTCCGCTCCGCGAGATAGAGATACCCTTTTAATTTTATTTTGGGCGCAGAATTTCTTCACACAGTTTTCATAGCTGCAAAGCTCCGATCTTTGCCCTAACGGTCTGATTTTGGGGTTGCCTCCCATCAGCAGCAGAACCACAAATTCGCCACCATGACTGAGGTATCGTCCGCCTGAACTTCTGTAGTTTCATTCAATTTTGATAATCACTTGCAAAAACGATAGCTCTTCTTGATTTTATTGATTTTTGTTCTTTTATAATTTGGAAGGCTTAATTGCATTGTATGTATGAGTGTATGAATATCGGAATGCAAGAACTGACCTGGGTTCATGACTAATGAGTAAAACCCAACTACATAAGTGACAAGATGTCACCGGGCTTCTTGTTCTTGCCATGATTATAGTTATGGCTCCATTGAGACCCATTTGATGCTAATAGCAAATACTCTCTGTTGCTCATGATGCGATCCCAGCACGTTGTTGGGATTTGGGAAAGAAAGAAGGCAATTTTTGTTTTGTTTCAATTTTACAGAAGAGATAATCCCTGCTTATTTATATCCGAAGGCTTTGGAAGTTTGTTTGATTTTCACAAACATGGTGTTAGTGTAGTTTCTGACTTTCTTCTAAAAAGGACTCTCTTTTTCTCAATCTTCATTACTTTGGAAGATAGTTTTCTTCTCTTTAAATTTTGCATACAATTCGTTTTGATTTCAGTGATTTTCCTGTCTGCTGACTCCGACTGATGCCTTTTACATTAGTCTTTGTAACTTTTTCTTTTTCTTTATTTGCAGTATTGGGTTAGCCAGGGCAACAAATGGTGTGACTTCTGCAAAATCTACATATCAAACAACCCTTCTAGCATTAGAAATCATGAGCTTGGTCAACGTCACAAGGATAATGTTGCTAAGAAGCTTGCTGATATGCGAAAAGAGAAAGTTGCAAAAGAGAAGGAAGAAAAAGAAGCAGAACGTGCCCTTCTGCAAATTGAAGCAGTGAGTATTCGAAGGTCATTTCGAAGTTATAAATAGCTTACAACAGTAGTGCATTTACTCCACTAATGGAGGTTCAGTTTATTATTGTAATTCTTTGATGGTAGTTCCTCTCCCATTTAATACAACAGTTAAGTTTACTCCTTGCCTTGTTCTCATCAATACTGCCACTTTGTTAGCAACCCGAGAGTAACTGTTAACTATTCAAAATTTCAAGCCTAATTATATTTACAAAAGACATTAGAATTTAGAATGGCCAATCGGAATTTAAAAAGAAATTGAGCACAGAAATTTGCCTCACTCTATCATTTTATGGATTCCAATTTATTGTTCACAATTTACAGATTTAGGTTTATTGAAAGAGAAAGTCTTCTCTCCTATGAGACACTGACATAAGCAATTTTCCCTAAATGTTTACAGAAAGCTAAGCACAGCTATCAAAAGGATGTGGCAAGCTTTCAGGAGGCTAGAGATGCCCGGGCATTCGATGTTGAAGATGATGGTCAAGAGAGTAAGTACTGGAAATTTGCGTTTCCAGCATTATTTCAATGTTAGAGCTGCACCATACTTGCAAGCTTTGCAATAAAGCCTATATAATTACACCTCAAGCACGTTGCAGCACATTTTGTTGTTTGCACTCACTTTGGAGAACCCCATCCTAAAATTAAATTTTGACAATCTGTTGCCTTTTTTTTCCTGGTCAAGAGTGTAGTTTTTTCACCTTAGCCATATGGCTTCTAGCCCAAAAATATATTGTAGGTGGGAGTAGGGCTGTTAACTAGGTGAGAACCTTACTTACAGCTCAACTACTTGGGCGACTCATTAAGGACATTTTTTAGTCTTTTTAAGTTAAGACAATAGAACAATCAGGCTACGTTTATAAACTTTATTCCTCACCACTCTAAGCTTGAAAAACTCTGCTGACTTAGGTTCCTTACAGCTGATGTAAGCGTAATATGATAATGCCATAAAGCCTTTTACCAAAGAAAGCAGTCTACAATGGAGAAAGAAGAAAGGCAGACATGGTTCATTACAAAGCTAATAAGATTATCTTTTTCCCTTTCTTCTTTTTAATTCTTTTTTTCTAATGAGCGGAAACCCAAATTGCATTTTCAAATTTGGGATTTTGATCAGGAGAGGAAGACATTATGCTAGTAAGTTCTGAAAATGGGTTAGAATGAACTAGACATGTTACGAGAAATGTGTTTTCAGGTTTGATCTCTTGCCACACTTGTCTGGTTTGGTAGTTGGCCGACAATCGATGAGCAAATCAGATTCTTCCAAAAATTAAAATTCTAAAGAAGTATGCCTTTAGGGGAGGTGGTTTATGAATATTATTTGTTAGTTAATGAATGGGCCCTTTATTGCTATTTGAAGAGGCATGCCTTTTTGGTGATTGATGAGTATTTCTTATTTCAACTCCATTATTTACTTTTAAAACTGATTCAGCTCTGATTGATGACAGAATGGCAGTATAACAGTACCTCTGGTTATTACTACAATCAAAGTAACGGCTTTTACTATGATGCGAATTCAGGCTTCTACTATTCTGACGCTATAGGTATTGACTCACTGCACTTCTATTTTAATTATTGTGTTGGCTTAATAATTCTTTCAGAATATATGTTGTAGTTGGTATATTTACATGAAGAAACACAACAGGAAAATGGGTGGCACAGGAAGAGGCATATGCGAACCCGCAGTTTTTATCAAATGCTGGATATAAAGAAACCATTTTGAAAAAGCCAGGGTCAACTTCAGGGGCAGGACCAGCTACAGAAAACAAAGGTGCTGATAAATCTCAAAATGGGCCTCCACCTGGGCCAGTGGTCTCAGCTTCTTTAAACCCTATGAGATCTGTTAAAGGTGCTCGTTCGTCAGTTTCTGTTGGAAAGAGAAAGAGGCAAGAGGAGAAGCCAAGGGCTATATCCGCACAAGAAGCAGCTGCACTTAAAGCGAGGGAGGCTGCAAGGAAGAGAGTTGAAGAGAGAGAGAAACCATTACTTGGTCTTTACCGGCCGCAGTGATTTGGCCGCTCAAGCAAGTTCATATCCTTAAGGACCTTAACACAAAGGGTATGCTTTGAGTTTTTCTTCTTTCTTAATTATTCAATTATTTTAGTCTAAGTTCCAGCGTATAAGTATGCTACTGGGTATGCTGCCTTGAGTGGTTGCTTTATTGAGCTAAAATCTTTCTCCCATCCCCTTCTTTCCCTTTCTTTCCCTTGTCATTCTATTCTGTATGGTCCCCTGCATGTTCTGATTTTCATGATGAAGGGTGTGGGAATTAGGATACTGTTGATGTATTCTAGCGTGTTTATTAATTTGGTCAGTGTTTTTAAAGGTGTTTCTAATGCATGCCTCATAGGGAGGTGAGAGTCGCGAGACCTAACTGCCTGAGGGGTTTAGGTGTTCAGTGATCTGCCAGATAGGCTATCGTTATATTCCAGAGGTGTATGCCTCAGGAACAAGGCACACTATTGTAAATTACAATTGTGCAAAACCTATTTACCCCCAAATCAACCCATCCCCACCTCCACCCCTGGTGGCAATTGTCTTTTTGTCAGAAACCGTTTCGTCAGCAGTATTGTTGATTTACCTACTGTGAGAAGAATCATTGGCATACCTGCAATTTTTTTTCTCTTTTATATCCAATCACATTGCATATACATTATGTGCATGATTCTTCTAATTTTTAGTTTTAAAACTTCTCAACGTTGGTTGCACAGTTGATGTTTTTCGCCTTTTGGCACTGAGAAAAAGTTCGACCAATTTTTTTAAACAGTACAGTTATTGTAGAGAGGGAATGTAAAAGAGTAGTAATGAAATGCCAGGCTGTCATTTCATTAGATCAGCAAGTGCCATTAAAATTTCCAAGTAGGACAAGTGGATGGGAAAAGGGATGCACAGAGGCACAAAAAATTGGCTCACAAAGTCACTCTAGACATAGATGAGATAGCAAGAGGTTAAATGAGGTAACGAGCATGCAATAGTGTGTCCCAATAAATGAGGTAACAAGCACGCAATAGTGTGTCCTATTGCTTATCAATCAATGATGGAGTTAGTGGTGTCACAATCTCATAGTCTGCAGATATTTCAGGATTGAGGGTACTGATAATTGCACAGTTTGGATTTTGGAGCCACATGTTGTGGGATGTGTGAATTTTCTAAATATCCAACTTCTTAATGTTGAAATCATTGCAGGAAATAAAATGACATACTGCATAACTTAAATGGGGAAAAATTATTTATCCATATATTGTTATTAGAAAGGAAAGCTGGTTTATGGACTTTAATTAATATATCTTGTATTTTGATGCATGTAATTGGAATTATTTTGCAGAAGTCACGAAGCCTTTTGAATACAACTACTCATTTTATGCAATGGCTGGTCCTAAGTTGTTGGTTATATGATCTCGCATTACATTTCAATTGCCAAAAATTGCTTGCTGGCATTGCAAATTTGGTGAGTAGCAGTACCTGATATGTTAATTTGTACAATTTGTTGCGAGCTTATTGAATGGTGGGTTTCATTATGAAAGATGTTAATTATTAGGTTCTTCAAATGATGGGTGTCTGAGCCTTCTTCAATGTGCAACTGCTGGACAATTAGGGTGAAAGTAATCTCATATCCCTAGTACTTCTATTTTTCTTTTACTTCCAACATATGAATATGGCCGATGCAATTCTAGTTACATTTTTCAACAAGGAGGAACGTCATCATAACAAAGAATTTATGAGCTGATATCGGCTCGCAGGTGTGTAGTGTGGTAGTTAAATGTTAGTTTTTGTTAAGCTCTTGTATGACGTTTTGTGTATAGAAATATTAATGAATGTTGTAACTGAGCATGAAATACGGATACCAAGTACATGACTACGTAGTCTTTGTTATTGAGTTCTGATGTTGAGCACATGATTTTATGAGGTTATGATGGGTACGTAGAGCACCCATTTGGTAAAGTTGGTAAAAATGCAATACTGTCAAATCTGCTGCGTTTTATGGTCTTTAACTCCGAACTCCTAAACCATATATCTCTTTTCATTTTTTTTCAGGTGCCTCTTGGAACCACATTAATATGTTGTTTATTGAAAATGCTCTATTGTTAGGCGTGCAAACCATCAATTTGAGTTATTGATAATGTGTGTTCTTGTTTGAACCTGGGGTCCAAATTGATAGTTTGGTAATACAGTTTGATCAGAGAACATCGCCTAACGTTCACATTCTTGGGATGTAAGATGTCTTAACGTTATTCAGCCCAGCTAATTCGAATATTCTGGCTTCACTTCGGGCATTTGTAAGGGAGTTTTTGTTATGTTTCCAAGTGATGCCCATTATTTCTTGGAAAGAGATGATGTTCTAGACATCTGTTTCTCAACGCCTTTACATGTCCAGAGCAGGAAGTGAATATTGTCCTAGAACCTAATGGCCAGAAAATTACCAATTTATGTTTCTCTTTCCTTGTAATTTGACTGAGGCATGAACTTTTTACGTTCAACAAAATTTTAACTCAGTTATACCACTTTTGCATCAATGTTATTGGAGCTAGAACCCGTGGACGACGGGTCTCGAGTCAATGACCCTTCCGAATGCAACGTGTGTCCATTTCTGTTTGTCCTCGCTATAAATCATGATAAATGCCAGAATGTGAACCGTCTCCCATTGTTGTTGAACGTACAACTCATTTCCCATGTCGATTCACAAACCCTTTACCACATCAAAAGATGAATAAATAAAACTCTGTACAGATACATTTCTCAACCACCAGACTCAATACGTACATGTTGAAGCAAATCGGGTTGGATTCTTTGAATTGCCTGAGAGAGAGAGACAGCCATTTAATATATGAAGGAATTTAGGGTTCCAACTACCACTTTGCCGTTCGCACGTGGTGTTTTATTTTCTCTGTGTGACTTGGTCGTCCCTGTGACTTGTAAAAAGGTCATAGATTTCGGCCAAGAATACAAAGACTAAAAACACGAGGGCAATGAAAATAATAATAACTTAATAAATACTAAACCTATTGAGGGGTTTTGAGGACTTTAAGTCAACAAGGTGGTTCGAAGCCCGTGTTGGGCTTTCTTTGGACATCTGGGGCTTCTGGTTCGTAGTACATACACAAACTGTCAGATCAAACGGGGGGTTAGAGCTTGACACTTCACAATCACAACTCCTTTTTAACGTGTCTGGCTTTCGTTGGACCTCAAGGTTTTCTTATATTTGGCTATACTCGATCAATAACACATTGACACGTTGTGTTTTAACATTATTGGTTTATGATAGCAATACAATACTATCTTTGTTACAAGAAAGGTTTTTTCGCATCTTTAGGGCATCAACTTGTCTCTATATAAGGAAGCTTAAATACAAACAAAACCAAAACCTAGAGCTCTAACTATCTAGGGATGTAATTTCTCATAAGTAGGTTAGGCCAATTATTTATGACTGTAAGTTTGTTTATTTACATCCGAATTCAAATATTCCTCTCTTTAAATCAAATAAATTAAAACTAATTTATACTATCGTTTGTATTAAAATATATATATATACCCAAGCACATTTTATCAATTTAATAAGCTAAACATTTTTGTTACATGCTGGTTACTTTTTTAATTTCGTTTTCTATATAATATAAAGGACTAAACCAACAGAGAGGAGGTGGCTTCTTTTTCTCTACTTCATTCACAAAGTAACTTTTGACTCTTTTCAACTTTTTTCAATACTTTATGCTTCATTCCAAATGCTTTTTACTCGACCACAGCCATGCTCACTCACTCACTCTTGGAATTTGAATATAATATATTTCTTCTTTCTACGAAGAAAAAATTCAACAGAGTCCAAACCCTGTGTCCTTTTTTTCCAAGTTATAATATATCAAAATATATATATAAAGAAGCACGGGTTAGACACGAAAACCATATATGAGTAAATAAAACAAAGAGTTCCTCTCTTTTTTACCAAAGATGTCGTGCCCCATCTTACCAATTCCAAGTATGACGAAGCAGAAACGGAAAATTTCATTCATAACTATAATTATTGGCGACAATAATGCAGTGCGGCCATGGATGATAAACAAAAATTGTCACCAACCAACCACCATGTATACTTGGTACCTTCAAGATCATCATATCATGATCTAGATATTTATCACTTTTGTCATCATCAACAGATATAATATGAGACAATCTCTTAATCTTTTTCTGGGTGTAAAGATTAGGGTATAATGTACATGAAGCATCATCCCATTATCGCATCAACCCCATGCTCCTCCTTTTCCTCACTTTTTCTTTCACTCTGCAACCAAAGTAACCATAATTATAGGATTTTATGTGGGTCTCCCTTCGTAATAGACAAAACTATTCTTTCAATAAAGCTAGGTTATGCATGCATGGCTTGTTGCCCTTCTTTAACCAACAAGAGCATTGGGAATCTATAAAAAGCAGAGTTCTACAATGAAGAACGATATAGATAGTTACTCACGCGCGCATTATATCAATGGTCTAAACTTGAGACTTTTTCATGAAATACTTAATGGCTCTTGTTTACATTGCACACCTCATCCAATGTGTATCCTCTTTGACTTATAATTAGGTGATGCATAGTTGATAGAGACATTAGCTAGCTTAGAGTTCGTTTGATAAAGTTTTTATCTTATCTTTTTCTTTTTCTATTATTAAATTGAGAGAGAAAAGAGGTGGGCAAGGGAGGAAGGAGAAGAGATAGAACGATTTTCAAAATAGAAATTAGAAATCAATTCCAATGATCATAATTGTTTCATCTAATTCTTGATTCCAATATAGTAAAGGGTGAATGAGTAACCATTAGGATGTGAGCCAATACTATATTGTATTATATTCTAATATTCCTCCTCAACCCTCATGTAGGATTGGTCTTCAAATATATAAATTGTGCCTAATACTATAATATGCAGAAAGAAAAAAAATTGTTAATTAGTGCAGGGATCTTGTGGAGTTGCATCACTACAAGTGATCACTTGTACTGCATTATAGGGTTTTTTTAATAAAGAATTTATAGTTTTTTCCCAATAAAAGAGGACAGCCGGAATTTGAACTTCCTTTTCTAACATTAGAAAGAACAGTACCATTAAACTATAAGTTAGTTGACAAGATTCTCATAACCTTAACTTTTGATTGTAATTAAGTTTGTTAATTTATCAATATTCTTATAAATTTAAAATATATGAGTCTAACAATTAGAACCTTTCTAAGGAAAAAGTAGCCAAAATTATGTGCTGAAATATAAAATTCTTACACAAGTGATCATATTTTCTCATTGTTTGAAACTTCAAGTACAGTAGTACACTAGTGACACCTAATTAATTTTGTTGGATTGCTTAGGCAAAGCACATGCATGGGCCTAACACATTAAACATGGAACCCCCCTTGTTCATCATTGCAGGTTGTGTGGTGATTACGAATTTATGGTTGAAATTCGACAGGAATATCGAAAAGGAAAAGGATTTTTTATGTCCCAGTTTTGTTTTATTTTTAAATAATTGAATGATTCTCTACCTTTTGCTTGATTATTGGTGGCAAAACCGAATTAGACAACTTTACACTGTAAAACATTACTGCTATAATGATTACACATCCCAACAATGATTACGGTGTGGAAAATCTTTTTCTTTGATCTACCCATGTGTCTGTGTGCTGCTGATATCCATCCACCGTCCTTCATCTATTTTCTTATGTAAGTTTATTACTAAATAGAAGATTGGGATTTACCACATTGTCCTATCATTTGCCAATGTTACTAGCTTATAAGTGAAGGGACACTGCTTGACTCATTCTTTGCAAGGAGATATTCCTCATTTATATGAATTACAGTTTGGCGCATACGTAAAAAGAAAAATTTATGCACATATGTAACATTGCTATTGGCAGGAATGTAAGAGCTCCTACTTACATGATAAGGAGGGAAGTGTTTTCCTAAATAATAAAGATGGTTTAGTCAAATTTATATAATATTGTTCCGTCTTTTAACTTAGGATTATGATATTGGAAAGTGAAATATCACGAGACTAAGAGTTAGAGTTAGCAATTAATGGTTTATTACGAAGGTAAATGTTTATATAAATCTTAAGGAACTACTCCTTATATATAAATCTTAGGAATTGCGTTCCCTATTTTAATTTTGTGTTGTTTTGCAAGAAGAAAATTAGGTGGTTTTCATGCATCATGCATTCAAATAGAAAGTGAAAGGGGCATGGACAATGAAAAAAGGAAAGTGGGATGGTGACATCTTTAGTTTCTGTTTTCTTCTTTTTCCTTCCCTTTAATTCAAACTAGACAAATACTCTTCAATATCATATGTGTCGGTAAATAATTCATGGCCATTCCAAGAGCTCTCATAAGATATATTTTTTTTGTAACTGAAAAAACAGATATATTTTCTATGAATGAACTCAAAGTGATATGTAATTTGACATGATTAAGGAGAGGAGAGAAAAAAAAAAAATTAGTTTCATAATTGTTCCCAACCAAACACAAAACGTTGCTTGTAATTTAATCTCTTGTATATATATGTTTCATACTATTCGATTCCATTTCTTGTGATAGAGACACCACACACATGCCCCAACAATCAAATAATCCAACCAAGATCATCAAGTTGATCATCAACCATATGAGCAAAACTCAAACATCCGCATCCCACAACAAAGAAATTTGAACAGAAAAAAAATATATCTACGGCTACAGATCGAGTCATGGTCTGCACCCTCCGCCACGTGTCAAAGACCCAAAAGCCCCTCTGGAAATCTCATGCAACCCGGGGTTGAACCCCAAGCAACCCAAGAGGCCATGCTTGTACGGCAAGAAGGTCTTCCTCCTCATCTCCTCCGTAACCGCCCGGTTCGCGGTGTAATGCAACTCGTGAGGCGAAATCGGCCCTCTCCTCCTCGAGCTCACTGACCCCACGCTGTCGGTGGACCGAAAACTCGAGTTCTTCACATCCTCCGCAATACTACTGCTACTTTTCTTGGGGGACAGCATCGCGTACTTTCTCAACGGGTCTTTTCCAGTTGTGGCTCGGCCTTCTGATGCGCTTCGAAACAACAAAAGATCTTTCAATTTCCACTTTCTACTTACTTTCGATGAAGAGAACGAGATCGCTGACAAAAATGAAGAATATGCTGAAGATGTGGAGGCCTTGTTGGAGTTGGTTGTTGATGAAGAAGCTGTCTTGTCTTCTTCGATGTCGAACATGACGTCCGACACGCGCAGGGGAGACAAAGATCTGGTTCCCTTTTTACGCACGGAAGGAGATCTTTCTCTCCCCCGCCTTTCTTCTTGATTTCCATATTCATACTCGTTCTTTCGGGTCTCATTCATTGCGGCAGCGAAAGGATCATCATGAGCCTGATGGTCCTTTCGGTGATGCCGCGGGGATAGTACTCCCTGAACCAATTTCTTTCCTTGGGAAAGTCTCGACTCTCTTGGAGACGGGGACGGAGGGACCTGGCTCATCAGCTCCATTGCTCCCAACTTGTAAGCGTGGAGGGGGTTTCAGAGGCCTGATCTTGCCGCCGTCGAAGAGCTCGTCTGCCGGCAAGGAAGCCTTCTCCAACTGCCCACTAAAATCAAACTCAAAATCCTCCTCAAGATGATGAATATGATCACCATTAATGGTAGCTCTGGACTTGGGAATTCCGGGCTTCTCTTCCCACTTGAAAGGGATTGAAGAGGCTGAAAGTCTTGGATCGTTTTCGCCGGAGAGGTCGTTGAAGTGGCTGTAGAAGGAAGAGGCCCGGGTGGGGCTGGTGGGTGCGCTGAAGAAATAGTTGCCAAATCGAGTGGGGCTTGAAGGAGCAGTCATGTAGGGGGAGGAGCAGGCGCTGCTGTCGAAGTTGAAGTCCACAGGGGGCACTGGGTGAGCCACTTGTATCTCCATGACTGGTTGAGCTGAAGAGCTTAAGCTCTGGTTTTGGGGGGTTGGGGATTTAAGGTTAGAGAAACAGTGAGAGAGTATTGAGATATATAGGAGGTTTTAGAGAAAGAAAGAGGAGAGAGGATGAGAGGAAAGGGAGGGGAAAGAGGATAGTGGGAGAAGATTGACTAAATGACTAGAGTTGAGTCTAGAGAGAAGATTGGTCATAGACGCCAACTTTATATTTAAATCAACTCGCTCTTCCATCTGTAGCATTTATTATTCTATTTTCTCTGGTCCATCTCCGTGTGTGGGTGGTTTTGCCTTGCTTGGTTTGTTTTCCCACTCATTTAGTACCCTCCTCTCTCTCTCTCTCTCTCTCTCTCTCTCTCTCTCTGCTGGATTTAACTAACTTTTGTTTCCGATTTAGAAAAAGGAAAGAAAAATCGATGTCAATAAAAAATAGTGATGATTTTCCCACTCCTTTTTCTCCTAATTTATCCACTTACACTCCTTTTTTATAACTAAAAAAGGAGTGTAAGTGGATAAAATAGGAGTGGGGAAATCATTGCCCATAAATAAAAGGAAATATGTTGTTTGGAATTGAGCATCAACTTACAATACTTGGGATATTGTGGATATTTTGTAATACGAATAAAATATCAATAATGTATTAGGTATTGCAAATTGATATTTTATACTAACCAAATACTTTTATCAATGAAATTGTTAATATTTAGCGCACATTAAGATTGTTTAGTTTAGACCATGATAAGTGGCAAATAGCGTAACAATCAGAAAGTGTTGAGTTCTTTAAAAAAATTAGGATTTTTTTTTCACAATATTTAATTTATGTGATACGAACAGATCACATGAAGTGAAGTATACGTATGATTTTCGTGAAATAGATTATGTAACTAATTCGATGGTTTCTATAGACAATTCCATTAAAACAACTGGAATATGCTCATTTTATATGCCTTTTTAATGATTTCAGAATGGTCATTGTAGATATGTTTTGTTGGCATAATTTGTGACTTTCCTTGCACACTGTGAATTCTCATATTAATTGTAATTGATTTCCTTTTATTTCTGATTTCCTATTGTGAATAGAATTAGTAGTTATTACTTTCATTGGCCTACAATGCTTTCTTGTATTATAAACATGATATAGTATAAGAAGAAAAATATATAGAATATTCCCACAAACAATATTCTCTCATATTTTAGTATGTTTGTCTTCTCTTTACGCATTTTTTGAGTTGGAAAGAAGTCATCTCTAAAAACTAAATCTGTGTCTTAGCAGGCCAGAGGTTTTGAGAACGATAAGTTGTCAGCATACATTATCCTACAAAGAAATGTGATTATTAATTTGGTGCATGCATAAGGGCGGCCAATTACGTGGCCTCTTGTTTTTGGATTATTTCGTTGAAGGTCTTTAGGAAGCTTTAAAGGGCATGTTGCTTATAAAATTGACAGATGACGGTGATTTTTGAGAAGGTCAGCCACATACATTGCCCTCAGCTGAGATCATAATATTGACAGAGAGATGAGAGATGGCGTTGAGTATTGGACTTAGTGGCAAATAAGGTTTAATCTGGGGCAGATTGCTTGTTTAGGCATGAAAAAAAAAAAAAAAACTATGTAATTTTGGGGTAGCCAACTTCGTAACTTAGGCACCACATTCATTGTCATTAGGCAAAACTCTTAAGCTGACAAGTAAACAAGTCCTATAGCTAGTATATTTTTTATAATTTGCAAAATGTCAAAAGAATGCGTATTCACAACAAGTCAACTATCTTGCCATTAGGGTATAACTCAGTTGGTTGAGCTCTTTCACCTCCACCCACAAGAACAAAAGTTCGAAACCTCCAAACGTCCCCCCTCCCTCAATCGCTCATCTTATCAAATTATATTATAAAATAAAAATCATATTTTCAAATTAAAAGGATATTAATAATGTTACTCTCTATTGAGCAAATAAATTTTCAATGCAATTTTTTTAAGAATAAAATGTAAATTCAATTAGTACTAGATTATAATATTTCTATCAAATTTTGGTACCATTATGTTTTATTTCCAATTTATAATTTTTCACGTAGCCTTTTACGTTTGTAGATTTTGGGTAGATTAGAGATGTCCTTTTTGCGAACAAGATTTCCCCACTAGGGGTAAAGATGTTGACTTTTGCGACCTCCTTCTCCGGTGCTTGGATTATTCACTTAGATTTTCGACCATTTTGCATCAAATCAACAAAACATGTCGGGGCACACATTTATATGATGAAATGTATTCGTTTTTATATTTTTATTTCTTTATACATTTTTTTTAATTTAAAAAAAACTCGAAATTCATATTAATAAGTGAATTTCTTACGCACATAGATTGCCCTATCCCAAAAATATATATATATACAAATAAGTTTAATAGATTTAGCACAATAATTACTTGTGAAATATTTATCCAGTGAAATAATATTTTCACTTCCAACTAGTTGCCAATTGGCAATCAGTGATGGGATCGGATGCTGTCACAATCACATTAACATGATAGGATTTTATCCGTTTTGACATGCGTATAAGGTGGGATTATTTATTCACGCCAACCGTCCAAATAAAATATACAAACCTCAACGCCTTGTTAAGAAAAGAAAAAAAAAACATTCTTTATTGTTAGATTATCTGAAATAGTTGATAAACATGAATAATTTTTTAAATTCTAATTATATGTATAATAAGATAAATAAAGTGTATAGATTATTGTCAGCCGTGAATATAAGTAGATTTCAAAATACATCAACGATCCTATATGAGCCGCTATAGCATAACTCTATATAATAATCATATAATTTTCACTTGTAGCACACACGTTTTAACAACCTCATCATCTAGAACATAAGAATACATCAAATACGATGGCTACGATTACATCACTGCTTTGTATTGTAAGCATAAAATCCATAATAGTTGCTTGCTTGCAGAAGTTGAAGATTTTGCAATGCCAATTGCTATGTCATAGTCAATAGGCTCATCATCACGGACAAGGATTTACAAGCACCCATTGGGAAGAGTGTTCAAAAAAAAAAGCACTCTAACGTTCGCAATGCCACTGCCTCTTGTTTATTTTGATATTTGAAAATCGCTCTCAATGACATGTGGGTTGTGCCCAAAGTCTTAAACACTCTTTTGTCCTATTAAGGATTAGCCCATCTAGTCCACTAGGGGCTAAAAGAAATATAAGATTATCGTTAATTATCTCTTGTACTTCTTTGCATTTGCATGTTGAGATCGGTTGTCTACATATTGAACTAGTTTACAATATGATACCACATATAAATTTGTAATCTAACAGAAGTCATCCAATTTGACCAAGAACATATATATATATAGTTATTTTCTTATTTAGATGTCCGCATGTTATTATCATGCAGATTCTATTCTAAACAGCCAGAAAGCCAAAGAGAGATAATACAAAATACATGACGTCCGCAAGATAATAATGTCTGAATGTCCATATAATATAATTCTATATATATAAGCAAGAAAATTCATTTAAGGCATGTCAATGCACCTCCACCAATTAAATTATATTAAATGTGTGTATGTATATATAGTCAATGATTAATCTTTGATATTTGGTTTGTTTTCCTACTCATTTAGTACCCTTCTCTTTCTCTCTCTCTCTCTCTAAAAAATTGTTTCCGAATAAGAAAAAGAAAAGGAAAAAGAAAATTGATGCCAATAAATAAAAGGAAAATGTTGTTTGGAATTGAGCACCAATTTACATAACGTGGGATTGTGGATATTTTGCAATGTGCTGTTATATTTTGTAACACAAACACAATACTGAAAAATATCAATAATGTATTGTGTATTGTGAGTTGATATTTTGTACCAGCCAGCCAATTACTTTTGTCAATGAAATTGTGTTTAGACCTAGATTATTTCGACCCTTGGGTGGGCCCAGTTTTAAAACAGAAGGAGTGGGACCTTCAGGAGTATTTAAAAAGGAGTTTTACTAAAACACCCAAAATGGGGGCTGAAATTATAAAAAAACCCAACACCAAAAACACTTTATAAACACACCCAAAACTCATCATTATACACACTCAAAACCCATTTATAAACACACCAAAAAAATATACAATTGTTGATTTTGGGTGTGTTTCTATGTTTAAATAGTGTTTGAGTTTTTTTATAAATACATGTCTAGAATTGGGTTTATTTATAAATTTGTATATTTAAAATTAGGGTGGGTTAGGCCTAGTCTGTGTCATGCGAAGGAGCAGGCCCAGTTACATAAAGGTTTAAAGAATTGGCCCACACATAAAAGGAGGATGAAGACATTGCCCAAGGTGCTACCGACCCCCCCCCCCCAAAAAAGGCGCTGCTGATCGAGCAGCCTGCTTGCCGAGCATCATTACCAATTACGTTATACTTAGGGGGTGTATTCAATTAGGATTTTAGAGCGTTTAAAAAGATTTTGTTTAAGTGCTAGATTTCATAGAACTTGATGGAACTTTAGATTTCGTATAAAACTTGATAGAGTTTCAGAAGACTTTTATATAATTTTGTAATAAACTTTCTTAAGATTTGTATGACTTTTATTCCAGGCTTCTCTAATTTCTTTAACATAATTTTTTTTTTAAACGAATGCTAAGAGCCAACTAATTAGTCACACCTACAACTAATTAGTCATTAATAGAATAGCCAACTGGTAATCTCGATAATATTGACAACCACATGAATAATATTCAGCAAAGAAGGTAAGAAAATGAGATATGCATACAAAAATTCAACTTCGTCCTCCAAAAGATAAGCAGGCGTGCATGAATGCCACAACAAAACATTGATCCTCAATGAATTTAAATATAAAACATTATGCACTGATGTTGAGATGTTCTGATCCTTGATTTGTACCAAGATGACACTGGTGTTAGTTGAACAACATGAAAGAAAATTTTAAACAACATGAAATAAAAAGCCAATTTCATAACATCCTTTCCTTGAACAACATGAAATAATTTTTTTTTTTTTAAATTATGTTTAACGAAAAACAACATTTATAAGAAATATAGTGACAAATGTATTACAAATTTGAAAGAAAAGTTTA